CTCTGAGTTTCACGTATTACTACGATCGTCAGGCAACTGATGGCTCCCAAACGGGCAGCCTGAACATAAGAGGGAGCAAGGTGGGAAATTCTGAGGGGTATCATAGGCGACGGGTATCATAGTGCAAGAGTCAGGTGCAGGCGTAAAGTTGCCAAGTCTTCAGACTTGGGGCTATGCAGCAGCAGTTCCAGCGTGAATGACATAGTATAGAGCTGGGGACCACACATGCCCACACCATTACACACACATACACCCACACTCTCTCCCTTTTCTCACATACACTCACACGCGCACGCACACACACTCATACTCTAAATCTCTCTCTCTCACACACACGCACATATGTCATTCATTCTCTACATCACACACACACACACCTGGCCCGGTGTACAGCTGCCAAATGCTTAGCCACGCCGCCCCCGAGACAGGGGGAGAGTAGAAGAGAGAGTTTGAGACACACACACACACATCCACACACACACCTGGCCTGGTGTACAGCTGCCAAATGCTTGGCCACCCCGCCCCCGAGACAGGAGGGGAGTAGAAGAGAGAGTTTGAGACACACACACACACACACACACACACACATACATCCACACCCACACACCCACACACACACACACATACACACACATCCACACACACACACACACACACACACACACACACACACACACACACACACACACACACACACACACACACACACACACACACACACACACACACACACACACACATCCACACACACACACACATCCACGCACGCACAAACAAACACACACACACACATTCTCTAAATCTCACACACACACATTCTCTCTCTCTCTCTCTCTCTCTCTCTCTCTCTCTCACACACACACTCTCTCTCTTTCCCACGCATGCACACACACACACACACACACACACACACACACACACACACACACACTCACACATGCACGCGCACACTTACTCTCACACACACACACACACACACACACACACACACACACACACACACACACAATAGGCAGCGGGACTACCAGCTAGATTCACGTGACCTTGCGGACAAAGTTACGGAGGTAGAACTTGTTTTCACGACGACACTTGGACACAAGTACTTCTGTATTATTATAATTATTATCTCTTTTCAACCAATCCACAAGCCAAGAAGAGATGCGTAGACGGAAGAACCGCACTCTTGGTGATACTGATCGCAAACATGATTAATTCCTCCAGGCCATTGAGCACCCAATTCTAAACCTTATCTAAGCAAAGCAGCATGCCAGTTCAATAACATCTCGTCAGACATACACATCAATACATGTCTGGTGTACTCTCACTAACAAGCAGGCATCGCAGGCTACATTCGCACCAGCAATCAAAAGAAGTTGAAGTGAGTGAATATTTCTATAAAATTAATAATTGGAAGTAGGGGTGAAAGTTGGCACTGGGATCCCGAGTTCGAGTACTCTGATTTTATCCGATCGAATATTCGAGTATTCGAGTAGTTTTCATCTCCTAAAAATTGTACACCAAGGGCTTTAAAATAACATGATACAACCCTGATTGAACCGAGTAGCAGTCATTTTTCTCGAGTATATTGGTTGGTGGGTCATTTGGGCTCTCTCTACTCGTGAACAAATGTTCACCACACAGTCTGCACATCACCATCTGCCGACTGCTGCCCTGAAACTGCAGATTTCTGTAGTAAATGCATGTACCATGTATGAACGAGTACTCTGATTCATTCCGAGTACGATTATTTTTGAAAAAACCGAGCGAGTACTCGAGTACTCGGTATAATTGTTTCACCCCTAATTGGAAGACAAATGAAGGTGTGGAGGATCGCCCAAAAACACTGACAAGGAGACAGTAAACGGTACACAGTACTCGTATGCATGTACTTATACACGTTATAGCAGCACAACGAGAAAGACCATGATGCATAATGTTGCATCAATAAATTTTACAGAGTTATTTTGGGAGAAGAAATGAAGATGTGTTCGAAGCAGTAAACTGCGTAAGCACTACGTTGAGCCAGAATATTGAAATACAGTTTCCTGCAGTCAAAACAAGACACTCACACTTCTCTGGTCTAGTTCGCCATTCTTATCGATAAACATGACTTGATTTAATTTCTTACGATGGTCCTTGAGAATGGATCAATGATGTCTTGAATAGATGTCTTCCTGAACGACTTCAACTGAGAGGCAGTTTCAGTTTCAACAAGCTGGACATTGTTTTTCTGTGGAGTCTTCCACAAGAAAGACAGTGCTACACACACGAAGGTGCTTGATGTACTCAGTACCTTCTTGGAAATGAACATATTTTCATTTCCATCTTCATTATATTTTCGTCTCTGCATCGTCGACGATGTCCACTTCTGACTCCGTAATCTTGTCACCCATCCTCTCCAAAAACACAAATCGAGTGCTGCTTGCATGCTGGATCAGTTGAAGTCAGTCTCTGCTCTAGCAAGATCGGCATGCAAAAATTACATGACTGAAAATATTCCGAAATAGCTTTTCTGAACGACGAAGTTTATTCTTCAAATATGATGAATAGCACAACCTACTAGCCAGAACGTCCTCTCAAAAGAGATTCTATCTGAAGCCTGCAAGATTTTCGACCACCCTTCGTTTTGGAGAGGAGCCCACACACACCAGACTCGAGCTACAAGTAAACTACGCGGAGATCGAGAGTTGATCGAAATCTTTCTTGCTCACTTCTGAAACCTGTGAAGGGAAAAAGTATGCTGAACGCGTGAATGCCTACAGTTGAGTCGTAATATTTTGACGTGGATCCTGTGACCGTTCACAGAGAAAGTCGCGGCTGTTTCTGACTGGTCATCGGGATTCAAACTGGTGTGTGACTTTATGACTGCTCTTCGGGGATTTGTGACTGTTTGATTGGTCACGGGGATCGTGATCGGTCTTCGAGACGTGACTGCTCACTTAGTCCTACATATATTCAGCCCCTGAAACTGCGTGTCAAAGCCGAGTCTTTCTGCTTCCTGTTGCCTAGTGCTTCTTGTTTCCTTTGGTGTTGCCATGGCTGATGATCTATCCCAATCTGCAGCTTCCAATACAGGTGTCTGACCTCTTTCCCTGGTATGGTTGTCCGTAGGCCCTCTGCGATGCGGATGCAGCCTGATACCTGCCTGTGGACTAAAGCTTGTTTCCTGCCAAGCTGGTTGCAGGTGTGTGTCAGTAGATGTGAGATTGTGCGAAGGGATGACCGGCTGACCAGTTGGAACTCTCACACGTGAAGCCACATTTGGTGCTCGCTGTACGAGATGACGATTTCAATAGATGCACATCGTCTTGCTGTCCACCTTGTTATACTTTGGAGTTGTGTGATTTAGGTCCAGCAGACGCTGTGGTATCTGGAGAAACAAAAGGAGCCCAGGAAGTGTATTTATCTGCAAGATGGTCGATCTCTATAGTAGATTCTCTGCACACTACACCTTGGAACACCATTACCGGCATGTGCTGCAATTTCAAACACATCACTTTTCACTCACAGATCAACGGTCCATTACATGGGGCAATGGTTTACTAGAGCAATCACACTCACGACAAACTTCAACTACAACCCTTCTTTTAGGCTATGGTGCGCAACTCACGTTAACGCAGAGACCATAGGTCGGTGTTGTGGGCTTGCCTCACCAGCACAGGCTTGCTTTGCAGCCCTACTCTCCCTGCTGTTTTGTTATTGTATACTCTGTTGTCTTCTCCCCTTCTGACGAGTAGATTGTGTACTTAGTAAAAAAACCCAGGAAAAACAATAACCGCGAAGGCAGGTTTTATGGAGTTGCGCAGAACAAGAGTAGCTACTTGAAAATAATTTTGTGAGTGAAAAATACGTTTTTGCACTCTTTCGCTGTGCTCAGTCAGGAGTCGCAGAATTTACTGTGACTGACTATGATTGACAGCATGATATTTGTGTTCAGAAGGTGGGAGGAAATCTGTGTTTGAGTTTATGACTCGTACTTTGAGTTTCATGCTAAAGGCTCAGACAACGAAAAACTCTGACACATGCAACAAACAGAGACATTTGACTCCTTTATTAAGTACAGCGATCACATGATTACTACGTAACTATACTCTAGCTACTCAATCTGCGGACAGAACTGTTTCGTCCTTTGTGGACTCGTCAGCGCAGCACAGAGGAAATGAGGCCGAACCTGATAGCAATGGAAATAGAAATTTCAAATCAGGCCCGAACGTACTTTGCAGCTATGGCCACCGATAAGCGCTATGGCAGGGGCATCGGACACAGTATGGTCACTACGGTATTGACTGTACCAATTTTGGACCCAGTCACCCCGTAAATCAATAAAATACACTGACAAAGAGTTGGTGGACAAGCCGTTGATTATTCACTCTCATTGTAATATCAAAAAGTATTCTTTCTAGACCAAAGAGTGGTATATTTGATAACATTTAATAACGATAGAAATTTTTACGATACTTCTCCAGACGTTTCGTTGTTCTGAACAACATCGTCAGTATCGTCAGTGGATTTCTTTATCCACTGACGATGTTGTTCAGAACAACGAAACGTCTGGAGAAGTATCGTAAAAATTTCTATCGTTATTAAATGTTATCAAATATACCACTCTTTGGTCTAGAAAGAATACTTTTTGATAAAATACACTGATCTGGATTTCAATTTCCACATTTTTGGCTCAGTAAGCACACTTCCACGAGTAAATTGTACTTCAGATGGCTGACCATACCACACTAAAATGCCTTCCGATGCCCCTGTATGGTGTAATAATGATCTGCTTTGCAAGTAATGACTGCGAATAACAATTGCCGGAAGTTTGTGTGGAATGCTCTACCATTGAATTCTTCCCATCTGGCTTCATTTTTCCAGGTAATAATGGATTTTTCGAAAAACAGGTCTTTAAAATTGCAGTGAAAGGATCAAAACTTTGACCAATGCCATTTTTTCTCGTATTTCGTGCTGATGATGCGATTCGTAGTTCTACTTTTACGGAATGTGCTCACCATAATGGGGAATAGCGACTCCGATACTCCATCTAAGTGCTCAATGGACAGTCCACGAGGAGAATGTTAGGGATGATTATCGGGGATCCGATCACTCATGTACTCAGGGCGGTAAACGGCTGGAGCTCGCAACTATCTGTTGCTCGTGCTGGTGAATTCGTCCCAATCACAAAAAGAAACGTTTTCTTCAGTACCTACGCGCAGACGCAGGAGGAATGTTGCAACTCTAACGAGGAATGTTCTTCTCCTTTATCCACTAAATAGACAAACAAAACACATCATGCATTCAGTTTTATCGTGACGCTGAAACATTGCATCTCAGTTATGGCAAGACAGAAACTGGGACGATGGTAATGTTGGTGAATGTTGCTTCGGTGCAACGGAGAACGTGAGGCTATAGTAGAGCGCGATTTGGCTCTCTTTGGCGTGTCCAGCAGCAGTACCGGCACTAGCACTGGCAGCAGTATAAGCACACGCCATCTCACTGTGCCTAGCAGAGGCTATCATATCACCAAAATAGCCAGTAGACATGGTACAGGCTTGGCGCGCAGCAAACTTTCGACATGTACGACACGTAGACCTCCGCCGCGATCCCAGGGCCAGGTAGAATATTGCACATCAGTAGACCAGTAAATCTACTATACCAGTGAAAGCTTTCCGGGATGTGGTTGTCTCACACGTTTGACCATTGATATTAAACAATAATTTATTATCGAATACAATAATGATGCTTCAACCGCCTTTCCGCATGCATTATTCCTGAATGAGCACATGGATAACTGGTATTAGTATACTACAAACAGAAGCATGATATCGTGACATGATCAGGTAGAATATTGCACGTCAGTTGACCAGTAGATCTACTATACCAGTCATAGCTTTCCGGGATGTGGTTGTCTCACTCGTTTGACCATTGATATTAAACAATTATCGAATACAATAATGATGCTTCAACCGCCTTTCCGCATGCATTATTCCTGAATGAGCACATGGATAACTGGTATTAGTATTGGGGACAGAAGCACGATATCACGACATGTTAATTATCGTGCTTCTGTTTGTAGTATACTTCGAAAGGTAGCATAATGTAGACCTACTTTGTACTTTGACACTGTTTCATTACCTGTCGCGCTCGAGGCATTTTTCTAACAGGAAAACCGCAAGACGTGTTGGCAGACACGCAGTTATAAATGTCGACGCCGTTTGCACGTTTGCATCTTACGAGCGCAGCTCTAGCCCAGGTCATGCATGCCCTCCTTGCTTGTCCTGGCCGCGCACGGGTCTTTGCTAGCTCTGCATGACATTCACAGACCCAGTCAAAATGATGACTGCAAGTGTGCACGTCAAAGCGGAGTGGAGCTGTCAATGTGTTTCGGAGCCTGGTGGCTGCAGGCCGTGGCCGCTACGTGGCTCATGAGGCGAAGGGATCTACATGTACACGAAAACACCTCATACGCAATATACCATGTACGACCACTGCGTTGACGACTCTGCCGTTGACTGACATGTCAATGGAATATTTTCCTGCTTTCTCTCTCACGCCACCAGTACTATGATATACGTGACTTTTCATGCAGTTGTAGGACGTACATGTACATGGCCGTCGGTAGAATACACAAATAGAAGATCGCCTGACTCCAGAAGCTCCTTAATCTCCCGCGGTGTGCACCCACTGGTGGTGGAGAGCAGTCAGCAGGTCTCTCTCTCTCTTTCTCTCTCTCTCTCTCTTTCTCTATCTCTCTCTCTCTCTCTCTCTCTCTCTCTCTCTCTCTCGCTCTCTCTCTCTCGCTCTCTCTCTGTTTTCGGTGGACAAAAACATCTCTGGCGTCGATTGCTTTCTTGCTTAGACTTCTGCCGCGCCTTTGTTCTCGTACTCCCCTTTGTGTACTAATGTTGTGCAAACCCTTCTTGTAGTCTGTTTCATTTTGCCCAGAGATGTTTTGATGCATAGTGATTATGACGCTCATCATTCGCTCCCTTGTCACTGGACAGTTCTGTCCGTTTGGGTTTAGCGAACTCAAACAAAGAAAACAACAACAAACAACAGGTCTGCTGCAGCACTGTGGCCGCGACGGAAGTCTGGTGTAGTGGAAGGCGGTAGTGTAGGACGTAGCGTACGTTCGTTTTTGATCTACAGGTTTTGGTAGAAACTACATGTACTTCTTTCGGTAGAGGTGTTTTTTTCTACTCTAAAGCGTAGATTCTATTTCGAAGTAATTTCCTCTACCGGCTCTACCAGGAAAAAGTTGGTAGAAGCCAGTAGAAGTTGGTAGAGCTACGGGATTTCCAGCAAAATCAAGGAGTTGTACACAACTGCATATAGAAGAAAAACATTTCAAGTACATAATTATTGTGAAAAACTACTAAATCCGGTAGAAAAGCGTTCGTGCACTTACCTCTATAGTCTACCTCTATCGGTACAGTGACTCTACTCTATCTACTCTACCAGGTAGCTAAAAACGAACGCAGCCTAAGTCGGGTTGGTCAATGGCCACGGACATCGCCCCCTAGGCTTCTGCCAGTACGACCCTGTTCATGTTCTCGGAGCACTCCCTTATCATCAAACTCCCAATCCATCTGTCTTTATCTCTCTCTAACTCTCGTCCATTCTCACTCTAATCTTTCGTCAAAACTGCACGGCAATCAGCCTCTACTTTCACCTCAGCATCATTATCTTGATACTGCTATCTTTGTACTTGTTTGGTATGGTATGGTATGGTAATGATTTATTTGAATTCGGTATCTCAACAGTACAATGTACAACTTGGGAAGATCCGAATGACATAGTTTGCGTACTTGTTTGCACTCATATCTTGGAATAACTCGCAAACTAACAAGTTTCCTGGTTTCCTCCCCTCCCTCCTCTCTTTCCTTCCCTTAGAGTTCTTGCTGTCCTGCTCCCCGCCCCTCCTATCCCCATTTTGTTTCCTTTGGTGCACATGTGCAGCTGTGATGCCGAGACCCTTGGTCGGCTGAGGTTCACAGGTCCCACCTGTAGTATCCCTGCCCGACCAATACGGGTGCAGTACGGAACTAATACGGAGCTTGCCTGATGTATATTTAGTGTATCTCCGTATGTAAGCGTACGTCGTCTGCTGCATAAAAGCGGCTGCGCATTTCTGTTTTGATGAAGATTAGATTAGATAGCAACGAAAGCTAACTCGAAGATGAGATTTTGATAATAACGAGCTATTCAACCTCCAGGTGTGCACCGGAGAGAAAGTCAGTTATTTTGCCGCTTTTTCTTTCACAAATAATAATATCTCAGGTGTGTACCTGAAAGTAGAATAAAAGTAATTCTTGTTAATTGCACCGCGCCTACCACTCGGCTACCCATTACATTGGTGGCAGCGGTGTAGTTTTAAATAAAACAACGTGATTCGACCCCAGACCCCCATGGCTCAACCCGCTGCAGCTCCCTGCGACGAATCAAGGGAGGGTATTCCCCAAGACCAGCAGCGTTTGATTTTCGCCGGCACGCAGTCGGAAGCAGGAGCCCACTCTTCACTTTGGTACTTCGCCTCCGTGGTGGAATGCAGATTTTCGTCAACACTCTTCCTGGCTAGACCATCACTCTTTACGTCACGCAAAGCGATGCTATCGACAATGTGAAGACCACGATTCAAGACGAGGAGGGAGGTCATTTGTCTGACGCCGAGCTAGCCGCTCTGAGTGACCGGCTCAACCAAGATGAAGATAAAACCTGGCTTGCCCTCCGCCGTAGCTCCAGCCGCCGCCGTGGTTACTAACGCTGATTCCAGGTATGGCATTTTCTTTCCTGTCTTCCTTCAGTCTCCCTCTTCTCTTCAGTCTTCCTTTATGCGACTGTGTGAATCCAGTTTAGTTTGGTAGGCGTCTGATCATGGTGAGCCACGGTTTACCCAGCTAACGTGGGATAATGTGTGTGACAACACCCCTTATAGTTATAGTGTATTCAGTTCGGTTTTGAACTCCGATGTTCCTGGCGGGTTGTGCCAGCGTTGTGCAGCAAGAGTGCTGTGGGTTTTCAGGTCCTATTTGGAGGACAGTTCTTTCCCCTTTTGACCCCGTGTGAACCTGGTGTGCTTCTACTTTATGATTTGTTATCAGTTCATTTCTTCTGTCTACTCTAAACGTTATCATTTCCGATATAATTTGCCATCTTCCGGTTGACGCTGTGTTCATAACTCTTCACTAATTTTTTGAAACTCACGAGGGCGTGATAATCTGTAGGAAGGGAGGGTGTAGTATCCCTGCCCGACCAATACGGGTGCAGTACGGAACTAATACGGAGCTTGCCTGATGTATATTTAGTGTATCTCCGTATGTAAGCGTACGTCGTCTGCTGCATAAAAGCGGCTGCGCATTTCTGTTTTGATGAAGATTAGATTAGATAGCAACGAAAGCTAACTCGAAGATGAGATTTTGATAATAACGAGCTATTCAACCTCCAGGTGTGCACCGGAGAGAAAGTCAGTTATTTTGCCGCTTCTTCTTTCACAAATAATAATATCTCAGGTGTGTACCTGAAAGTAGAATAAAAGTAATTCTTGTTGATTTCGCCGCGCCTACCACTCGGCTACCCATTACACCACCCACTCCGTCCTGCTGGATATGTACCATTGTGCCGAGTTCTCCTCCTCATTTTAGTTCATCATGCAGTGAGTGTTCAATAGTAAAAAATAAAAAAAATTAAAAAGTGGCATTCTGCGTACTTTCATGATGTCACTTGTAAAAATTTTACATGTATCTCGCTCAAAAACATGCAAGTGCATCAATGCTGTGTTGATCACCCACGCCATGCCATGTACATGTATGTGTGAGGGTGACCACTAAGCACTACGTTATTTTGACTATGCTGCTGTGTGTTTCTTTTAACATGAGCCAGAAAAAGCCCTTCTCATTGCATCATGCCAAGACAACATTACACACACAGATGCAATCTTGCATGTCTCAACAACAAAAACATACGCAGCGGGGTGACGGACACACGGACACATTAGGAGATTCCCTTCGATAGGCATCTATTTGCCTCTCGAGGATCCGTGAAATAAAAATCAACCAAATCAATCAATCAAAAAAACACACGCATGCGCACACACACACACAGCGACAAGTGTGCCATAGGTCGTGATCAACATGTAGAACAAAGTATTTTTAGTTTCAGAGTCAAGACACAATATTACTACACGTTTGACTGTTCATTGAATCAGTTCTGGAGGGCAAGAACGAGTCAGGGTTGTAAGTATATGTTACGGAAGTATACGATGTAGTTATTTAAACTGCAGCATGTTATTTATCGTAAAGAAAAGAAGAACTTAGAAGTTGCGACTTCGGCGGTATTAGTCATGAAGAAAGAATGATGAAAGAAAAAAGGACCAAGAAACTACAAGTTACGCTATTATGTCCACTAATACCACCAGTTACTAAACAATCAGCTCATGCGATAACATTGCACGACACTGACC